AAAAAAAAAAAAAAGGCGTCTGGGTGGCTCAGCTGTTAAGCGTCTGCCTTTGGCTCGGGTCATGATCCAGGGTCCTGGGATCGAGCCCCACATCATGCTCCCTGCTCAGCGGGAAGACTGCTTCTCCCTCTCCCACTCCCCCTGCTTGTGTTCCTGCTCTCGCTGTGTCTCTCTCTATCAAATAAATAAATAAAACCTTTAAAAAATAAAAAATAAAATAAAATATACTATAATCACCAAACACTTCCTAATAGGCCGAAAGTTTAGCCCAGTTGTTTCAGGGTGCCTAATACAACATCTTGAATAATGGAACCCCAGCCGGCACCACGCCTCTAACACATGTTCAAGCTGAGACGGTTCACCTGGTTTAATCTTGTCTGCAAAGTGATTCGTCCTCCAGTAGAAGGCATTCGACTTAGTGCTGCCTCAATCTGTGAACACACAAAACAAATTTAGATAAAAACAGAAGAATTCTGACGAATGGCAGGGATGTCTGTAACAGAATGGAAAGGACAGGCTTCAGCCTAGTACTTTCTAGTGCGCCTCGCCTTCATGTAAGCGCCCTCTGTCCTGCTCAGCAAGGACAGCTCAGCTCAATCGCGGTCCGAGCACAGCTCTGGGGTGCGAGCCACAGTAGCTTCCTGGCATGGTCTGACTCCATAATTCCCTCTGACTATTCCTCAGACATAAGCATTAAGTTCAGAAAAACATTTGGGTTTTTTTTTTTTTTTTTTAAGTTTTTGTTTTTACCTGGTCTTTTTCTTTTGTAAGTTCATCAAAAAACCGTTCCGTTTCAGCTAGGGTCCTAATTTTTGCTGTATACTCAAAATCATTACCATGTGGGGCTACCGACGCGGGCTCACACCGTTCATAGCTAACTGACTTATTCTTCTCCCAGGCTGGTCTCACAGACACTTCCTTCCTTCCATGTGGCAGCAGTCCGGGAGAAGAGCTGTGATTAGCCCGGACGTCGGTGGCTGTTTCTGAGTATTTTTGTTCTGTCAGAGAGAAAAGAAATTTCTTTTATTTCTTTTTTTTTTTTTTTTTTTAAGATTTTATTTATTTATTTGAGAG